TACATAGAGGGATTTTCCAAAAAACAAAACATTCAAAAAAGTTTCTACACTGTTGTCCTCTGTCAGTTGTGACAGTCGAGGAACAACATTACAGAGCTATCCATCGTTCTACGAAGCGGTGAGCAACTGTTTCCGCCGTAATAGAAATGATGGGAATAGCTTCGGTCCATCTCGTCAAACGATCGATGCACGTGAGTATGTGATCCTACCCATGCGATGGTGTCAAATGTCCTACAATGTCTATGTGAACATGATTGAAGCGAGCATCAGGCGTAGCAAATATGCCGATAGGGGCGGCTGCGTGCCTACGTAGTTTTGATCGTTGACATTGTAAGCACTGCACATTTTTACCAATGGAAGGCCAGACATATCTTGCAGCGATGAGACGTAATGTGGCTGTGATACTTGGATGAAGCAATCCATGGGGGGTATGAAAGACGAGACGACGATGAGCAGAAGGTACAACCTGTCGGAGTAAACCAGTATAGTTATCACACAGGATAGTACCTAAGGTGGTAGCTATTGGTACTTTCTGGCACTGAAGGGATGTAGATTGTTGTGCTTCTGTACAGGACGGATCATTTGCTTGGGCAACGGCCATAGCAGGAAGATCAAGCACCGGCAAGGTAACTGTATTTACTTGAATACGTGAGAGAGCATCGGTAACATAGTTCGAGTCGCCTTTAATATGACGAATGTCTGTCGTGAACCGAGAGATATAGTTCAAATGCCTGCACTCTCGTGGTGAGTAGCGGTCAGACTTGGTATGAAGAGCATACGCTATAGGCTTATGGTCGGTGGGGATGATAAAGTTACGATCTACTGCGTGCCGGAAAAGTTTGATGGCACAGTAGGCTGCTAGCAGTTCACGACCAAAAGTGCTATATCTTGTCTCAGTGGGAGTAAGGCGTCGTGAGAAAAATTCGAGAGGTTTCCAACTTCCAGAGATGTTCTGTTGCATAACGGCTCCTATAGCGAAATCTGATGTATCAGCCGCTATACCAAGCGTGGCTGACGGGTCAGGATGGGCGAGAAGCGTGACTTCAGCTAGAGGTTTCTTAATCTCTAAAAATGCAGCACGTGCTGCATCGTTCAACTCAAACTTAAGTGGATTACAGCGAAGTAAGTCGGTTAATAGTCGTAACTGCTCTGCTGCGAGAGGAATAGAACGTCGGTAGAAGTTATGCAAACCGAGAAAAGCCTTCATTTCCTTGAGTGAGGACGGTACAGTGTACTCCTTGATTGTACGTACTTTATCTTCACAAGGTAGAATACCCTCATGCTTAATGATGTGACCCAAGGATTTTATTTCTGCCTTTCTCAGTTCACACTTCTCTGGGTTAACAACTATTCCGTTATCTGAAAGGCATTGGAATAAGAGCGTAAGATGTTGATAATGTTCATCTACGTTTGATGATGCGATTAGCAGATCATCAATATAGACGTGAACAAAATCGAAGTCTCGTACTATGCTATCGATAAACCTTTGGAAAGTTTGAGCAGCATTCCGTAATCCAAATGGCATTTGTAGGAAGTCAAACAGACCGAAAGGAGTGGTGATAGTAGTTTTCTCAATATCCTCAGGAGCGACTGGGATCTGATGATATGCTCGTACCAGATCAATCTTAAAATACAGAGTTGTGCCCTTGAGTGATGTCGTGTATGTGGGGAATGTGATAGTTATCGAAATGTGTTCCTGCATTTAATGCTCGGTAGTCGCCACATGGTCGCCAACTTATCCCATCCTTTTTGCAAACCATGTGGAGTGCTGAGGCCCAAGGACTGTGAGGACGAATAATACCTGTAGCTATCAAATTGTCAGACTCACGTTTAGTGAAAGCTAATTTGTCCAGTGACAGTCGGCGGGGTCGTGCCGTGACTGGTGGGCCGCCGGTGACGATGTGGTATACTGCATGGTGAGTTACCGATAGATTCTCCCCGAGTGCTTTAGTTAGCTGGGGAAAGTTTTCGAGTAAAGCATGGAAAATGTCATCACAGGAATGAAATATCCCTGTAATTCGGTACGCACCTGTTTGAGCCCGAGAGCCCATAAATTTGCTGTTCGACAAAGTATCGATTGGCTGCAGCCTACGTGAATCGACTAGCAGTTCATAGTGCTGTGGGAAATCGATACTGAGTATGGCTGCGGGAACATCAGCAATCACGAACGTCCACAGATACTATCGTCGGTTGCTCAGGTTGACCGTCAGCTGTCGTGTACCCTAGGTAGGAACGACAGATCCATTCGCAGCGCGTAGTCGAAGCATCATAGGTTGACTTGCTGCTACCAAGTGGTAAGACAGAAACTTGGGCACCTTTGTCAACGAGGCACCTAGCGCTAGTGCGGATATTGTGCACGTAAAATTGGCGGCCAATCTGGGGTGATGGGCCGACGAGTACGACCGCGCTTACTCGTCGGCTTGGAAGTTTCCTTGTATGGGCAGGGAGCTTGACAATGACGGGCGCATGACCTCGAATTCTACTGGAACCAACACCAGCCGGTACTCGCTTCCGAAGCCGCCAGTTGGCATGGCCTGGAAGATGTTCGCTGGGGGCGAGTACTTGCAGCCTTTTTTGATCGCGAGCCGGCTCATGGGGCGTGGGGTTCAGGAACAGTGGAACGATCTGGAAAACTGAGACGGCTGTGGATACAGCAACCCCTATCTCTTTGAGCCTGAACGTGATTAGCATCGAGGTCCACGTCGGTATGTGACGTGGAGGGAACGTATATTTGTCTCGGTATCCAGTCCGCGCTAAAATTTTGTCTTCAGTAAGGGCAGCCTGGCTAATTGGTATGTCCCCGAGCAGAGCGGTGATCGTAGGCTGAACCTGGGCTGGTGAGGCTTCCAACCAAAATCCGCTGACGATGTCAGATCCAGATGTCGTTAGTCCTGCTAAGGGTTTCAGGCGCGTTAGGTGGTGGCTTGGCTTAGCATCGCCTAAGAGGTGACGTGCTAACAGTGTCCTCAAGCGTTCCTCCTTTAATGGGGTGAAATGTCTAAGAATCGCCTCTTTAAGACGATTATAGACATCAAGAACTGAGGGGTTGAGAACGACCTCAGGAACGGCTGCTATATGATCTCAAGGAAGGAATTCTAGGGCTTAGTCAAATATATGCCGCTGGTTAGTGATGCGGCGGATCCCAAGTTGAGATTCCAGTACCGCAAACCAGACCTCTTGATCATCGGGAATAAACGGTACAGGTCGAAAAGTTAGAACGTGTATTGGGAGTAAGCTTAAAAATCGTCGCGTATTCGAAGTTGTGGCTCACCAGTTTTAGCGAATCGGGGTTAAAATAATACTTCGCAGGATAACAAATGTTAATTCCGTTAATCTGCGAATCAGATAAAAGACTATTTTAGATGAAGTAGTATATTCAATGCTAGCCTCGTGATATCGAAATAATATCAAGTCCAGAGGGTGTACAAGCGGCTAACGTCCAGGCAGGAGACGCGCAGAGAAACAGAATGGGAATAACACGCTTGGTGAACGAGAGATAGTCTTTTGAACAGATAAGCAAGAGGGGTACTAGATCTTGACCACCGCACATCATAACAGATTTTCATGATGGGTTGTAAATCCCACGCAAAAATAAGTAAAATTTTAAGATGGGAGTTTCAGCGGATCAGGTCAAATCTATTTTGTAGAAGAAACAGCAAAACGAGATGCATGTATACCAATTGAAAATGGCCTGAATGCTGTTACACAACCTTTCAGTCTGATAAAAATCAATAAAGATATCTCTGTCATTGGGACTAACTTTTGACTAATGCAATTAGTGATTTTTGATTTTATCTCGATTGAATAATCACGGAATTTTATGTTTTAAGGCATTACGGGGGAACGTCGTCCAGTTATGATAGGCAAAGTTAAACAGAAGTTTTCCAGTATTTTCAAAATGATCTTGGTTGCTGTGCTGAGGTAAAAGGCAAACTATAGCTAAAACCTGACGCAAAACCTATTTCTCAACCTAAACGCCTTACTTCCTTTTCAACAAGCTTCTTTAGTAGGTAGAAGGCTAGACGAATTGGGAGAGTTAATTGTTCTTGAGTCAGCCAGTTATTCCTCCCGAGCACCACCAATCGTGGTAATAAAGAGACAGAAAACCTCATCTGGGAATGTGTATTTTGCGGTGAAATGAAAAAATTAAATTTCGATATCAAAAGTCGTGCTTGTGGTTTAAGTTAGCTTTATCGCTCTACGAAATTTTTGTCGCCAAGTAAGCCCGGGATTAAATCGGAGCTATGAGGTTGGTGCTCAAAAGTAGGGTAAGGATTTTCATCAGGAAATGATCAGCCATAATGCAACGCTGTCAGCCTACAGCTTTCAGAGTTAAGAGACTTACAGTTGAGATGCAGGGTGAAAGTTACAAAGGGAGAATATAGTCGAGTCCTGTTAAACACTCTCCACAATGTAATGAACCACAAACAATAAAATAATGTA